CCCCCCACTGCCCTTGCTGACTTCTGGCATCTCGGGGTTGAAGAGGAGGAGGAAGGGAGGGAAGAAAGCACTCGTGGCCAGTGACTGACACAGTGCCCTCTTTGAAGATGGGGGGTGGGGTGGGAACCTATTGCTCAACCTGCGGCTGCACCACTGAGGGCTCAGAGGGCAGGGCTCACCCCACTGGCGGCTCCAGCCCATCTGCTGGCATACTCACATCCTCATGCCTGGGATTCCGCAGCGCCCAGCCAAGCCCCAAGGGTGGGACAGCAGGGGCCGGGCCAGTGGGCAGCGCATGGCTGACCCTGGGCACCGCCGGCTTTGAGCCTGAGCCGTGGAGTGCAAACTTCCTCGCCTGACTCCTCCTGCAGCCTGATGGGGGAGGGGAGGGGAGGGGAGGGGAGGGAGGCAGTCCTGGAGTGGGGGATTTTGGATCTGCAGGGAGTAAAGGAGATGGCCCTGGGCTAGAGGTAGGTGGAACCAGGCACGGTTGGGGAACAGGGGATCAGGACCCCTGACCCAGGGTGAGAGCCATAGGAAGCTCCTCCAGGCAGCCAATGTACCCCGCTGGGCGGAGCCTCACCAGCTGTCCTGGCTTTGGGGGCTGTGTGGGTGCTGGCCAGAGGGGGTACTGGGAACCAGAGGGCTGTGCCTCTGACTTCAAAGACCCCTGTGTGTGCCCACCCAGCAGCCTCTCCCGAGCTGGGAGCCAGGGAGCATTTTCTTGTCTTTTTCTTTTTTTAATTTTAAAAACTGGTTTAGTTTGTATTTGCGAAGCAGAGAGGAGGGAGAGAGAGAGAGAGAGAGAGAGAGAGAGAGAACTACCATCTGCTGCTTCACTCCCCAAATGCCTGTAACAGCCAGAGCTGGGCCAGGTCATAAGCTAGGAGCCAGAAACTCCATCCAGGTCTCCTCCACGGGTGGCAGGGGCCCAGCTACTTGAACCATCACCTGCTGCCTCCTGAGACAGTGAGCATTTGCTCAAAGACGGGGTGCTTCCCCGACCCTGGTCCCCAGGCTCTGTCACAGCTCGGACCCATCCTGGGAGCCGGAGAAGAATCCCACGGATGAGGCGCCGTCCCCTGCACCTGCCTGCCATCCCATAACTGCCCTTCGAGCCTCTGCCCTAGGCCATGCACCGGGAAGCTCTGGCTCTCCCTCCAAGGCAGGCGTCAGCAGGAGGAAGGGAACGTGGCCTCGGAGCCCAGACCCTTCCCCTTCTAGACCCACTCCAGAATTCCCTGCCCTGGGCCCAGTTGCAGGCCGCCTTGTCTGGCTGGTCCCATTGAGGGCAGGCTGGACTGGGGGAGGCCAGCCCGGAGTCTGTGGGGGCGGCCAAAGGGCAGGGAAGGGTGGGAGTTCGGACGGGGCGGACAGGGCTCTGGAGGGTCCTGCTGGGTTCCGGCAGGGGTGGCAGCTGCCTCTGTGCTCTGGTGAGAGCAGGCCTCTGACGCCCCCCACCCCCCACCCCTTCTGCCGAACATCACCCGTGTGAGCCCGTCAGAAGCCAGTACCGCCCGCGTGCCTGACTCACGCTAAGGGGCTGGAATCCCACCCTGCAAGGAGCCAGAGTTGCAGTTGGGTGGGGTGGGAAGGAGGCGGAGCTGGCTGCAGCTGCTTCTTTGCGCTCCCAGGCAGCAGAGGGATGAGGGAGGGGTCCCGGAGCGGGCAGGGCCATGCCTGTCTGACTCACAGGGTGGGGTGATCCAGGGAGCTCTCGCCGCCCGGGGCACCCCGGGGACCTGTCTGGCCAGTTTCCCCATATTTGCACTTGGGTATTTCGTTCTGAATCCTTCCCATCATCGTGGGGATGGCCTGCTTCTCCCCAGAGAAGACAAGGGGGAGCCGGAAGCCATGCAGCCTCCCTGGCCTGTGGCTCCATGGACGCCGCCCCAGCAGCAGAGGACCGGCTGTGCCGTGGGCTCTGCACCCAGGCTCCCCCTGGACAGGTTCTCAGCCAGCCCAGGCCTACCAAGTGCAGAAGGGGCCCCGAGGAGTGACCCCGGGGTCCTCAGGGGCCTGCAGACAACAGTCACACCTGCTCCCATTCAGGAAGGAATCACTAACACAGAAGGGCACAGCTGGGGACACCCTGAGGACCTCTGCTGTGCACCCCCACTCTCTGCTCACCGGGGAGATGTCAGAGGCCCAGGGGGAGGAAGCCCTGGTCCCCAGCCATGCTGCAGGCCAGGGGCAGAGCTGGGGCTGGTGCTGGCTACCAGGGACAGGGCAGAAGCACTTGTCCTTGCCTGTTGCACCTCATCTTGCCCCCTTCCTTTGAACCTGGCCCCTAGCAGGCTGAAGATGGCCAGGCCCATTGTCTGGCTTCTGGGGCCCTGCGGCCCGGAACCTCCCCTGCTCCAGAGCAGCCTGGCCTGGGAGGGGCGGAGGCCCAGCCAGCTGGGACGGTGTCAGGCAGGGCTCGGGTACAGCCCCAGCTCCCTGCCCACCCTGACCTGTGGGGGCCAGGGGTCCAGGGATGTGCGTGTGTGCCTGTGGGTACACTTGCCTGCTACTCCCCACTCTCCCGGTGCAGAGCCTAATGGAATGGAGACAGAGGGTTGGGCGGGATGGAAGCCAGCGGCAGGTGGTGAACCAGGCTGGGAGGACCTGGTGACCTGAATCCACAGAATGAAACTGTCCCTGGCATAGGGCCTCCTGGGCCAAGGGTTCCTAACCCAGCAGAAGGGGCTCCTGGGGCCTGAGCGCCCTCTGGCTGAAATGGTTAGCCAGCCTGTGTGCATATGGCTCATCAGCTCACGGGGTCTCTGACCCAAGAGGCAGGGAAGTGGACGCTGGCCCTGGGAGGGGAAATAAAAAGACTGCAGGTAGTGGGAGGAGGGGACAGTGGGATGGCTTGGATAGAACTTGGGCCTCAGATTCAGATCCCAGCTCTGCTGCTGATGAGTCACGTGACCCTTCACCGACCTTCCCTGTGTTCCGATTGCTTCATCTGAAAAATGGGGATGAGTGAGAGCCCCTTCCTCGCGGGGTAACTCTGCTAACACATGCGACACCCTTGGAATGGCGCCTGGCAGACACTAAGTGCTCAGCGCACCTGGGCCAGAAAGGCTGGAGGAGCCCAAAGTAGGGGGGAGAAGAGGGGAGGAGAGGGCAGGTGCAAGACAACAGCCAATCAGAGGACCGCTCTGCGTTCAGCCAGCACCGAAATAATTCAGCGAACGCCCCCTTCCTGGGTGCAGCGCCTGCCTCTGCAGGATGAGGACCCGATTTTGTCAGCTCCCCAAGTATTCACTCTCCCGTCCCTCCCAGGGAGGCAACGGGAGTTTGTTGGGGAGAAGCCCCCACCTCCAGGCACCGCCTCCCAAGGAGCACTCCACAGCAGCGCCATGGCCAGGCCAGCCTGGCGTCAGTTGGCTCCTGAGTCATGTTCTGCCCAGACCTGATCCAAACCAGAGGGGCAGAGGCAGGGAGGCCAGGAAGCTGGAGGAGCCCAAAGTAGGGGGGACTGCAGGGGTGGGGAGGGGCAGGTGCAAGATGGCAGTCAATCAGAGGACCCACAGCTGGGCCTGCATTCAGCCTGCAGTTGCTGGCTCTTGGGGTGTGGCCCAGATGTAGGGGAAGCAGCCCCAGGATGGCAGCAGCCATCAAGGGGTGACCGCCATTTCTACTCTGTCCAGGCCCAGGTGTGTCCGCTCTGGGCCCATGTCACTGCGGTTCTGAGTATGTGGCCTGGAAGGGCATGACCCAGCAACAGTACTGTCCCAACCAGGACCCAGGTACAGCAGACAGGAGAGAACCTGCAATCTAGGAGTGTGGCTGTTTAGCTATTCCTGGCTGACAGCAGTCACTGGCCACAAGAGGCCACCAGACTGGAAATGTCGCTTAGAGAAGTGGGACGTGCCGGAGCAAGCACCTGGCACACAGCTACAGCCACATTAGAGCGCCTGGGTTTGAGTCCCGGCTCTGCTCCCAATTCCAGCTTCCTGCTCCTCTGCACCCTGGGAGGAGCAGGTGATGGCCAAAGTACCTGGGTCCCTGCCACCCACGTGGGACACCTGGACTGAGTTCTGGGTTCCTGGCTGTTGCAGGTGTTTGGGAAGTGCACCAGAAGATGGAAGCTCTGTCCTTTGCTTTTCAAAGAAACAAGAAAACAAAACAAAAGAAGTGGAATATGCTATACGTATACACGCCACATTGTGAAGACTTTAGAATGAAAGAAATATAAAATATCTCATTGGTATTTTTATATCGATTAAATGTTGAAATGCTAGTCTTTTGACTATAACAGGTTGAGTAAAGCATTGTTAAAATTAATTTGACCTAATTTTTTGCACTTGCAATAGCGCTGCTAGGAAGTTAGAACTACACAGGAGGCTTGTGCTATAGTCCTGTTACACAGCACTCATCTAGAGTGCGCCAGGAACCCCAGGAGCTCGCACCGCAGTAAACACAACCAGTCATAGAGGAGTGGTCTGGGGTCTCTCCCCAGCAAAGAACAAAAACCCAACCGCGGGCTCTAGAAAGGAGTTTTTGTCAGACCAACAAATAAACCTGCCCCACATGCCCTTCTCCCAAGGATCACTATTTGTCCTGGGAGAACAGCTCAGGAGTCACTTCTTCCAGGAAGCCCTCTTTGACCGCTCCCTTGTGGCTGGACTGGCTGCCCTGACAGGCTGGTGATTCATTGGTCTCCGCAGTGGGCGGGAGCTCCCTGACCGCAGCATCTCTGGCTTGGCCACATCTGCAGGGTCTGGCACACAGCAAATGGGGGTTCCCACCGCGGTGCCACCCCAGCACAGAGCTCTCTCCAGCCTCTCCTTGAGTTCTGGCCTCCGAGGAGCCGGCACCCCAATCCCAGCCTGGCCGTCCTGAGCTTCAGCTATGCCTCCTCCCGGTAGACCCCCTGGATTGGCATCAGGAAGGAAGAGAACGGGCAGAGGATGAGGCTGAGGCCCACAGGGGCCCCGGGCAGGTGGGGCTGCTTCCTGAGTGGCCGCCCAGAGCAGACCCTCAGAGCAGGGCAGGCCCGAACTCACCAGAGGAAGGAAGGTTAACAGGGGCCGCACTCTGGGCCGAGCCTTCAGCGTGGCCGTTCCCGACTCGCTTGCCGCATCGAACCGGTTGTCTCCATAGTAGATGCCATCTGGAAGACACAGGGAGGCAGTCTGTGAGCTGGGGGTGCAAGGGCGGGCAGCGGAGGCCATGCTGCCCCGGCTGCCGTGCCCCGGGACGGGGTGGCTGCCATGCCCCGGGACGGGGTGGCTGCCGATGCGGCTTTGGAGGCGGCACCAGGGGGCAGGGACGGGGCCCCGGCGGTGGTTTCCTGGGTCTCCTCCAGCAGTCCTGGCTTCTGGCGCCCAGCAGCCACCGCTTTCCGGCACCCCCCACCACCCACCACGCCCACCTCCCCCAACAGATCCTGAGCCTTGTCTCCTACAGCAAGTTCTCCGGCCTTTGGGAGCCCCACCCAAAGCTTATCTCTGTGAGAAGGAGGGAAAAAAGCCAGTTTTCCTCCCAAGTGTTTGAGTTTCTAATCTGGAACAGGCAGAGCAGATGAGGACACCTCCTGCCCCCACCTCGTGGCGCCGCCCCCCACCCCGACTCCTCTAACTCAACACTTGCCCGGCTGACAGCGAACAGCACGCGCCCGGACAGGACAGGAGGGCAGTGGGACCTGAGCCTCGCGCGTGACAGTGCCGACCTTACTGCTGAGAGTGGCCAGCACACAGACTGCTCAACAAACATGGTCCCTCCCGCCATGGGACATGGGAGATTTTCCTCTTCCCCCAGGGACCTGGCCAGTGCTCTGGGCTGTGTCACCATAGTGGTGCACACTTCTCACCCAGTCTCCCCCAAGACCCTGGACACCCATGGAGGAAAGGCAGGGCGCACTGTGGGCCGCCTGCTCTGTGGGTCGCAAGCAGGAGGACTTCCATCCATTCAGCAGGCCCTGAGGGACCGGCCCCTGGTCTGTAGCCCCACAGGAAAGAGAAGAAAGGTCAACACCTCAATTAACCAGAAACCTGCTACAGCTGTGAGTACTTTTCCCCTTGCAAGTGGCTCTAGGAGGAAATTGCAAGAAAACCAAGTTTACTTTGTTGTTTATTCCAAAAAGCCTGGGCTTGTCGGGGAGATCCTGGGAGCAGAATCCGCCCACCCCAGCCGCCACAGCCCTCCTTGCGATACTCGAGGCTTTGGGGCATGACAGGGAGGCCCCTGGGAGCCCCCAGAGCCAGAGTGGCCTCCCTGGCATGTTGCTGGCTGGGGCATTCAAGACTCCGCCTCTCACGGGGGCGGGGTGGGGGGCTCTCCCTGTGCTCCACGTGGCCCGGAAACGCCAGTCCCCAGCACGGCCCTGGCCGGCTCAGTCTGGGCAAACACGATTCCCCAGTTGGGGTTGCCAGGCTCCACGCCTGAGGCCGCACACCCTAGGTTGGCCCGGGCACGGGGAGGGGCATAGAAGGGTGCAGACGTGGCCAATCAGAAGCAACAAGAGATAACACACCCAGCAGCCACCAAGACAGCCACCGGGTCCCTGAGCTCCAGGTCCGCGTGTGGACACCAGGATCCATTCTCTGGACACTGCCACGCAGATCTGCAAGGGACCCGGGACGGGTGGGACCCCAGCCGCGTTCCAGGCAGACATGCCAGTAATCTCAATCCCTGCACCCGTCTTGGGGGTCTTGGGGTGCGGGAGTCTCCTCTCTATAGCTGAGCTTTTGCCAGAGGCAGGGCTGTGATTACTGTGTGCCTAGGGGCTGGAGAAACACGCATATCTAAACACGACAAGCTGATAACTCCAATAATAAGAGGGAGACCGTCCCCAGCGCTTCCAGTGAGCTCAGCACTGCTCGAAGCATCTTACACGTGATTAATTCATCTAATGCGCAAAACGGCCCCACGCAAACTGGTACAATCATTATCCTCATCTTGCAGGTGAGGAACTAAGGCACAAGAAGTCAGGTAACCGGCCCGAGGCCTCCCAGGGAGCGTCAGTGCCAGGATCTCCCAGGGCCACCGCACGGGCTCCTGCCACTCACACGGCTTGCATGGAGGGATGGGGGTGTGAAGGCTCGGCTTTGGCCAAGGAGAGCTCTAGGGAGGGGACAGAGGCCAGGTGGGGGTCAGGGCTTCTAACCACCTCCCAGGCTCTGTGGCTCAGCCGCATGCACTCTGAGACGCTGACACCTGCTGGGCTGTCAGTCACCTCGGCAGAGGAGTGGCTGTGGCCGAGGCAGGGGAGAAGGCCAGGTGTCTCCCACCCCTCCCCAGCCCTCCAGGCACCTTTGGAAACTCAGATGTGGCTTCCCAGAACTGGGAGTCAGAGGAGGAAATGGGAGGTTGGCAGCAGAGTGGTGCTGCACCTCGGGGCGGTGTCTCTGTGGGCTGTGAGGTTGGAGGAGGGAGCGGAGGCGCCTGCAGAAAGGGGCATAGCGAGGAAGCAGCTGCGCCCCTCACACCTGCGGCCGGGAACAAACTCTTGCCAAGCCCTTCATTCTAGCTCGCTGGGACCTGGGTCAGCCTCTGACCTGCAGAACTGTAGGGGAACAGATCTGTGCTGGTTTAAGCTAGAAAGAAAAAGAAAGGGGGAGAGAGAGAGGGAGAGAGGGAAGGAGGGAGGGAGGGAGGGAGGTGTGGTTAGAGTGTGATGGGCCTTTCCTGGGCCCTTCCTACCTGGCTCACTTCCTGTGTGGTCAGGAAACACAATTAGGTGAGGCATGTGTGGCCAGCACCACAGGCTGGGTCCGCCCAAGGTTCAAGGTCAGGACTAGGGCTTTCCCAGCCTCAAGATCAAGGAGCAAAACCAAAGGGAGAAACAACAGAGTGCAACCTTGGGGAGTTTCCCATGGAAGCAGCTGCACCCCGCCGGGCTCACATGTCAGGGACGCCAGCATGGGTCTTCCCAAGAAGCGGCCCCCTCCTCAACCAAGCAGCCAGACCAGGAAGGGGCCAGAGTCCCTTGCGGAGGGAGGGGCAGGGGATGGCTGGACAGCTGGCGCTGGGGGACACAAACGAGACCGCTCAGCAGGAGGGGCCCCACCCCAGGCTCCTCAGCCCCGTCTGCCTTTATGCGTGCCACAGGCCCAGATTAGGAGGCAGCGGTGGGACACTCCCACGATTCAGAAGGGTGGAGACGAGCAGCACTTCCAGAGAGCTCAGGGACAGTCCCAGTAGCCAGGCCGCCCTGCGAGGTGCCAGGCCCGGCCTCCGAGCACAGCCTAGGCCCACATGCACCATGGCCCTGGACGGACACACGGAAGCCTCTCTGCCTGATAAGCTCCCCTGCAAAGAAAGCGTCAGAGGCGGGCACTGCACACAGCGCATCCCCATCCAAGCTCCTGTTTCCTGTCCCAGCCCTGTCTCCCATCCGGCTTCCTGCTCGCGTGCACCCTGGAAGGCAGCAGGTGATGGGTCAGGTACTTGCGCCCCTGCCACCCACATGGGAGACCCACACAGAGCTCCCGGCTCCTGACTCCAGCCTGGCCCAGCCCTGGATGTTGTGGGCGTCTGAGGAGTGAACCAATGGATGGAAGATATTTCTCTCTCTCTCTCTCTCTCTCCCCCACCACCCCCATGCCTCTTTGCATATCAAATAAGATGAAAAAAAAAAAAAAAGAGCGAGCAGTGATGAAATAGGGGTAAACCCAGATCTGCTTCCATTACCCAAACCAAACTCCCCCCCGCCCCTGCCGTCAACTAAATCCGTTCTACGACAGAATCGTGTACAGGGTTTCTTCGGTGTTTTTTTTGTTGTTGTTTTTTGTTTTTTGTTTTTGTTTTTGTTTTTTTTTTTTTTTTTTTTTTGACAGGCAGAATGGATAGTGAGAGAGAGAGAGAGACAGAGAGAGAAAGGTCTTCCTTTTGCCGTTGGTTCACCCTCCAATGGCCACCACGGCTGGCGCACTGCGGCCGGCGCAACGCGCTGATCCGAAGCCAGGAGCCAGGTGCTTCTCCTGGTCTCACATGGGGTGCAGGGCCCAAGCGCTTGGGCCATCCTCCACTGCACTCCCGGGCCACAGCAGAGAGCTGGCCTGGAAGAGGGGCAACCGGGACAGAATCCGGCGCCCCGACCGGGACTAGAACCCGGTGTGCCAGCGCCGCAAGGCGGAGGATTAGCCTAGTGAGCCGCGGCGCTGGCCTCTTTGGATTTTTCACCTGGAAAAATTTCACTCTCAGATATGGACAGGAGATAAAGGAGTCTTTGCTTTCATTTCTATTCTCTCAAGGATCTGAGGTGACAAAAAAATACCACGTAATCCGCAAATACCTGCTTCCAAAATAATTCATAGAGAGGGCCGCTCTGCAGGTTTCCACGTGGGGCAGGCGGCCCCCTCCTTCCGCCTCTGGCTCCGGAGAAGCTGGATGGAAGCTGGATGGAAGCTGGATGGAAGCTGCTGTGGGCTCGAGCGGTAGTGGGGCCTCTGCGGGGGCTGCCTGCAGTCGCACAGCTCAACTTTGCTTAGCTGTGGGGTCAAGGCTGAACCTGGGTCCCAGTCCTAGCTCTGTCACTGAACGCTGGGGCCCTGGGAGTTTGTCGCCTCATCTGTGCCAGTGTGAACAGCAGTCCCTCCTACATGGGCAGGTATGAGGCTTGCACAGTGCCTGGCAGGTGATTCTCGCCCAATAACCAGGGGGGCCATCACCATCATCTCCATCATCATTCTCTCTCTCTCTGCCACATCTTACCACCTCTCTTCCTTCTTTTCTCTTTTATTTATTTATTTATTTTTTTAAGATTTATTTGTCCAGGCCAGCACCGCGGCTCAATAGGCTAATCCTCCGCCTGTGGCGCCGGCACATCGGGTTCTAGTTCCGGTCGGGGCGCCGGATTCTGTCCCGGTTGCCCCTCTTCCAGTCCAGCTCTCTACTGTGGCCTGTGAAGGCAGTGGCGGATGGCCCAAGTCCTTGGGCCCTGCACCCCATGGGAGACCAGGAGAAGCACCTGGCTCCTGGCTTCAGATCAGCATGATGCACAGGTCACAGCACACCGGCCCCAGTGGCCATTGCGGGGTGAACCAATGGAAAAAAGGAAGACCTTTCTCTCTGTCTCTCTCTCACTGTCCACTCTGCCTGTCAAAAAAAAAAAATTTTTATTTGTCCAAAAGGTAGAGTTACAAAGAGAGAGAATCTTCCATCCGCTGG